TTAATTAAATAAGACAAAATTAAAATTTTATTTTGAAAAAATAATTTATTAATATTTATCTGAGGTACAAATCTTTTATACCAATTTATATTAATAAATATTATTATATCAGAAGCAAAAAAAACTTTAATAATTTGAATTTTATAGTTTAATTATATTAATATAATTATTAAATTATATTAATAAAGATTAACTGTATTAGAATAAATAGCTAATTTTTTAATATAGCTAATATAAATTATATTATCTAATAATAAATATAAAATATATAATTTTTGATTTATTTATATTTATTTAGAAAGTGATATACTATTATAGAAGTATATTCAAGTATTTTTATAATTTGAATAGTATTAGTAATATTTATATAATTCAAAATCTTTTTCTTTTCAATTTTATTAAGCTATATATAAATGAATATTATTTTTTAACCTAATAAAATTATATATTGATAAAGTGATATAAATAAATAAAGAGAAAAAACTTAATAAATATATTTTTAAAAAATAATTATTTATATATACTTATTTTTGAACAAATTTTTTTGAATAATAAATATATAGTATTTACAATAAGTATGATTCTAATTTAAAACTCAAAATATATTTCAAAAACTTGTGCTTATTTTGAAATAAATATAATAATTAATTATATAAAAATTTTATATATTTATTTATATATTTATTTTATTTTAATTTAATAATAATATATTTATAAATAGTTATTAAACTTTAACTTTATTATATTTATTTAAAATATTATTTTAAAATACTAATATTAAAGAAATTACTTTTTCTATTATTAGTACTTTATTACTTTCTGCTCTTTTAGAAAATCTTGATGATAAAAATCTTTTACTATAGTTAAAAAACTAATATAATATTATTTATTAAAGAAATCAAATAAATTTTTATCAGTTAATCGAATATTCTATTATAGAAAAATATCTTTCAAATATTTTACTTGCACTTATTATAAAAATTTCTGAGTAAAGTATTAGATAACTTAAAGTAAGAGTAGTTTTATAAGATATATCAATATTTAATATTTAACTTTTATTATATAAATAATAATTTCTTTGAAAATTATGGAAGAATAATAAATATTATTCAAAAAAATATTAATCATATATTAGAATATATTCAAGAAGAATGATTTAATGAGACAGTTGCAAAATTTAAAGACTTCTCTCATTTGAAATCTAATTAGATATATTATGAAGCACTTCATCAATATATAAATAATAGAGATAAGTTGTTTAAAATAAAATTACTCTATTATTAATAAAGTTTCTAATTTATTATTTATTAAGTGAATTACAAACCAAATCATGAAAAAAATAAACTATATAAGAATAATGAGCTTTTCAAGCAGAATATAAAGACTAAATTTATAAATCATGCATAATCAAATTCAAGCAAAAAGAAAAAGAATGAGAAGACTATTTTAGTAAATATTAAGCCAAGATAATGAAGAAGTGATTCTAGATAATACAAAGTTTTAAGAGTTTACTGATAGTAATTTGGATATGGAAGAAAATACACATAATACAAGAATCAGTATGTATTTTATAATATATTTCATACTTAAAATATATTCTTTCTAAGATATATTATTAAGAATACCATCTGAATCAAATTTTTATGAAGATTCACCTGATAGTACTAGAAAAAATAATGAAAAAATACCAAAATAAATATTATTTTTCAATTTTAGTAAATTTACTATTACTCTGATTGAACTTCATTATATTTCTAGTATGCTATCAATTGTATCTTTGCAACTAATTGAAGAAAACGCTGTTGATACTGTATATCTCAGGTAAAAGGAATCATGAAAACAATGACATAGTAACCATATAATTTCTAGCAATGAAGAAATTGATGAGTCAAGCATAAATTGAAAAAGTCTCGCAACAATACTGCATTGTAAAAACCATTTTCAGCTTACCACAGGTCAAAAATGAGTATTTACTTCGTAAGTATAAGATCTTTATTTTTTGTAATTAATTAATCACTAATAATTTAATATTTTCTAATAGGATCCGGCAAGGAAACAACTTCACAAAAACTTTCAGAAGCTGGAATCATGAACAATCTGAAGCATTCCACGAAATCCAATCTATCCCGCGGGAAAAACAGCAAGAATCGTGGCAAAAAAGGGGATCAGTGAAGCGTAGGGAGAATAGTTATTTGGTCGTATGTAATATAAATAATTGAATATATAAGAGATGTGAAAGCAATTGTATCTGGAAATTATACGTAATATATAAAAGTTATATACGTAATACATATAAAATGTGTTTGTTATTTTCAGGGTTGTGTGCGTAATTGTATCCGGAATTTTACGTAACATAAATAATTTTATATGGAATGAGCCTGGAATGTATAAGACATATGCACGGAATATGTCGGGGATACGTGTCAGTGTTTTCTTGAAATTTATATGTTATTCAGATCCGGAAAACATACGGAATTTTAAATTCCGTATAATAATTCCGTATGCATTTGTACGGAAAACGCGCCCATTTGTATACGGAACTCATTCATGACACATTGCTGATAAATTACTTACATGTCGCGTAAAATTCCGGATGCAATTTTCCCGTAGGGTTTTTACATAAATCAGTTGAGTCGAACACTTTTATATAAATGAAATTGACAAACTTTTGGATATCACTGATGCAAATCGTTTTGTATGCTAGTAAGTTAATTGTTTCTCCATAAAATGCATTCATTATATGAGCTTATAACATGTGCTTATTTTCTATAAATGCACACCTTCTTAAATCATGCTCATGACCGAACTCAAGGAGAAGGGTGCATTTGGAGAAGTCTATTTATATTTATTATTTTACTATAACTATGATCTTATTTGCGAGCATTTAAGGAAGCACCACTTGAAGGGGAACGATTTATACTTAAATTTTTCATATATTCATGTTAATACCATAAATTATCTAAGTATTGAAATATATGAACCTTTTAATAAAATGGTTGCGGAATAAAAATACATTCTACTAAAAATATTTTCATTGATCATATATATAGACTTATTATTTTTCTTCATATAAAACTTTTAAAGAATATTTTGTAGTTAGAACTCTAAATACCATTAGTTATATAGACTTACACTTAAAAAAGCTTTCTGTTAGATGTTATTATTATTACTATTATATGGGTGGTGATTATAAAGAGGGTATAATATGTTGACAATATATTCTATATGATATACGTTTAACTATATGTTATGGGTTATCCGTATAAAGGTATCCTCCCATCATTCCAGTGCTCACGATACCACGATCACGAATTACATTATTCAACGGCCGTCGATTTATAACGAAGGCTCTTGTAGCATTGATAAATCGTTTCGGTGGCGGCGAGCCAAGAATAAATGTGATTATACTCCGTAGAATTGAATCGATTGCCGTCGTTAATGGTAAATACCGTTGAGTACGTTCGCTAAACAGGCACGTAATATATAATATCAAATATAGAACTGATAGGCTGGTCAACGATACAAGGTACCAAGTAGCTGAAGCGGCATCCAACGAATTAATATTTCCTGTTTTTTGTAATTTCGGAGTCTTCGGGTTCCAATGTAAAATTATTACCGGGCTAAAAGTGTACGCAAACGCCAACATCGTTGTCAATGCACCAGCAATCATTTTCACCACCCAAATAATGTATCGTGGTTGTTTTATAATGTCATTTATCAAGAATATGGTGGTAGTGAGGTTTAGAATGTTGAAAAGTATTAGACCGACTATTGTCAATTTAAACATCGTGGTGTTCCAGTGAATATTTTGGTAGAATTGTCGGCCCATTTGAAGAATAAAAATTACAAGCATTGTGGTGTAGATCGTGTTTTCGAGTGCGACTAATAACCAGTAGTCGTTTGATATTATGTTCTTTTTAAAAAATAGCATAAAATTTATAATCGCGAGTGCTACTATAGATAGATCGCATATAAGACTTGTATAAAAAATAATGTATTTAATTAATTTTTTTAATTAAAATTCCGAGTTAAATTTCAAAATATCTTTTTTAACTTACCATGTAAGCTTGAGCTTAGTGTAATTGTTTTTGACTTGGTACAATAAGAAACAACTAGATAATGAACTTATTAACAAACCTACAACAACTAAACTTTTTTTCGCTATATTAATATCACAATTAGCGTCGTTTATCTCATTTGTACTCATTATAAAAAATATGTTGAAGAACAAAATGAATGTAATTTTTTCGGAGGTTATTTTTTTTAAAAAATAATTTCATAAAAGATCAAAGGCTGCAGATTGGTTAGTTTTATTAATCCAAAGAACAATAGAGTTATTAAAGAATAAACTATTACTTTATTTGTCTAGTCAAATAGATAATTCTGTTTTTTATGCATCAATGCATCAATAACACACTTAATTAGCTAACATTGACTTATCTCACGACTACGAACAGAAACGTTACACCGCACGGACCAATTACTATAAAGAGGCATAAAATTGTTATTTTATGTTGTTACATGTACAATTTTCCATTTTTGAATGATCTTTTACATTTTTTTTACTATTCAATAATAAAAAATATCAATAATTGTTAAGTTAAAGCAGATGACATATATTATTTGAGAACAAATAACAAGTCGGATTTGAGATTAAGCAAGAGTTCAAGAAACTAGCGATAATCCTGGCGCGCCACGACTCGCCGCTGGGAAAAGCGGCCAGTGATTACCACGAGTTGGGTATGAAAAATTGAAAGGATCGCAGCTTAGAAATATTATTATGAAGATACGCATTAATCATAAAGGTCTACCAAGGATTTTGTCCTTATGTGGGTGCGGAGATATCGATATTTCCGTAATGGCTTATAATTACAATAACACGTGAGACATTACTACAGCGATCGTGATATGATAACGTTTATTTTGAAGGTATTCTAGAAAAAAAAAATTTGCAAACTTCTATAACATAATCAATGTTGACAAATGACCTCGAAATGACCTCACAATTACCTCATCAATCTCATTTGACCAGTTAAAAAGCATCTTTATGAAAAGACGATTTACTAAGATTACATTCATAAAATATATTGGTATGATACAAAAATCAGATATTTTAATACCCAATTTATCTCTAGCCACATTTTCGTGTTTTCAAATAAATGCCAGGATTATAATTCTTTATCTATTTTGATCGAGTCTTTTCTATCTAAAAGTTTTAAGAAAGTTCATATATTAACTACTTGTTTTCGTTTTCATACAAAGAGATAATACATAATCGGAGCCTTGTACTTTTATTCTTTGACAGGATTTTTTGATTGAAAATTAATATCAAGTCAAACAGCATTGCTTAAATACGTATTTATGACGATATATTTTGTGTATCTTGCACAAACACAAAATACAGTTTAACAGATTTTCACGAGCACGTAGCACTAATTTTCGAAACAATCATATTTTCTTCAAATTATCTCATTTTATTAATACGTACATGTACATGCAGGATAATCAATTCCAAGGAAAGTTCCAGAATCACTTTAAATCCTGTTTTGTAGCTGACGCTAATATAAAAGTGATAGTAAATCTCCAATCTTACAATAATTTAACCAATAAATTCCCCATGGAATAATATTTGCTAAACGAGCCTTTAATTAAGAACTGTACATTGTAAGCCAAATCACCGATTACTTTAATACACAAATTTAGAGAACTAGCAGAGCAAATCTTTAATCTCTGCGAGCTGCATTTTCAAAATTGACGATTTTTATATTTAAAAAAGGCTAAGAAAAAGATGAGGTTGATTAATTGTAGTGACTGGTGAATTGATGATCCAATCACAAATGCATATACATGTAATTGAATACAGTAATCCCCAATTGGTGGTAGATTTCCATTTAGATGCACATGTAGATGTTTTTAACGCAATCACACATGTTCATTGTAATGATTACATAATTTTGTTTGTGTCTTCCGTATCGGGTATGCATTTACTCAGCACCTGACCCAAGTTAATCCGACATCTCAAAATTTTTGAAAAATTGACTTAAGAAAAATTAAAACCATTTATAAGATGCAATCGGGGATCTGAAAAGTATCCACACAGAGAAATTTGTGCATTTTGGCGACTTTGGACTTATCAGTCGTGCTTATTTAGATATCTAATCAAGAAAGCGCAACATACTTTTTATATGAGTTCAGAAGTGGTAAATGGAAGTTATGATCGAATGTATATACATGTACTTTGTATTTCACATATATGATCGGAGAATACTGAAAGAATAAAAATTAAAGATGTATTAAATTAAAAAACAGAAATGAAAAGAACTTTCTGAGCAGAAGGTATCCCTAAGATTATAAACAAGCAGTAAATGATACAGGCACGTACGTTCATTCTTTCATATTGATTTAAAACTTATGTAATTTAAACATTTAGGTCAATAAATAGTTCTAACGAACTTATTTCATGTAAAAAGATTTCAATACATACGAAATGGAAAATATTATATATTTTTAATACAGTAGCAAATTCACCTTCAACATAATAAGAGCTGTTGTCTAAAAATAATAATGATTAAAGATTTAATTACACATATATTACTTTATTAATACGCTTTTTTTGATGTACATTTAAATAATATACAAGGTTATAATTCGATGAAAGCTCATAATTTATTTTTGTTATTTTCTTGTATAATATTCATTTAATACATGTATTTTTAATATAAAAGAATAATCATTCAGCGTAATTCATGATTTTTGAAAACCTTTCTCATTAAATGAAGATAAATTTGAAAAACAATAAATAAATTAAATAAAATATACAAATTAAATTAAGAGTTTGTTAAATGTTAGCTTTTATGATTGTTATGTTTGGCTTAAGATAATTCACATATCAGTCCAGTAAAAAATTGTAGTCCAACTTCATCTGGAAAATTTTCATTTTTTTATCAGAAATTATTTTTTAGA